TTTCGTTTAAATTACTGCGTATAAGTGTCATTTCTGAAGCTGTGTCCAACTGTAAGCGGGCATCATACCCATTATTCTTGAGACAAGCATACTTTCTACGGTTATGTGAGCCGGTTCTGTTAAGAACTACCATTACTTCGGCTGTTCGCGTCTTGAATCTTTTAGAATACACTTTCGGTTGATGGCATTTTTGGGTTTTGTAGAGACTTTCCTTGTGCCCTCTTCTGGAACACGTAGTACAACGATGAGTTTTAGATCTTTAACATTCTCGGTTCACAATTCTCGCTTGGTTTACCCAGTCATCTCTTGGTTCTTCCGTTATCTTCAATCATTGGTAACGGATATTAAATAGAGATGACTGTTCTACGAAGATTTGAGACAGGGTTTCAATTGTTTAATCAAAACTAAAGTCTTATAGGTTCTTTGGGTATATAAAGTTTTTACAGCGTTAGTGTTCCATCGACCCAATATTTCTTAAATGTATTCTGGCTTTTAAGGCGTCATCCAGTCTGTAGAGATCAACATGGAACAGATCTTTATATTTCTCAAACCACAAGTAACACTTGTTTCACCACCAAAATTAAATTCATGGATTACGTTATTGACTGAATCAATATGCGATACTTGAAACTCATCAGAAGCGGGCTTTTACTACAACAGGCACATTTTTTGCATAAGGGCTTACATTATTCTGATTTGAGCCTTTTCTCAACGTCTCATATAGACTTCTAGTTGCTCCAAAGAAATATTCATTGTGATTTGCTTCCGTCGTCACGTATATTTTTTTATGATTGAACGCTAGATTTCACTCCTAAACTCTGCTAGTAACCCTGAAACACTATGACAACGACTTTAGTCGAAAATACACTCATTTATATGTTTGATTGTACACCCATTTTGATGGGATGAAATCATATATATGAAAAGCACTCAGGGTTAAAACAAAATCGCATGCTGAGCCAAGTTCATGTTAATGTTCAATACAAGAATATCGTATATTATACAGAATAAAATATCATATGGAGAAAAACAGTAACAAATATTACACTAAATAATTATCATATTGAATTTAAACGGAAATACTATTGACCAAGTATCAAAATGTATAAAAGAATCTAATTTTCTTTGTTGCTTTCTTCCTATTTTTAATCTCATCATATCAATATTCACTTCAGGTTGTAGTTTATATCACTATTGAAGAGTCCCACAATAGGACGAAACGTTCATCTAGTACTTTCATGTTTTTCATGGTGATCTAGCTTCAAATTGATTCATAATTTCAACTATTGAAATTATTATAATATCCACAGAAACACTTTCTGATACTGATATCATATTTGTTTAGTTCTTCATATTGATTAAATTATGTCTAAATATCATACATACATTGTAAAAGTAAATAATCTGATAAAAGTCAGTCAGTTAGTCAGCTACAACGTAGAACTAGGCACATAATGCATCGGTCCAAGTCGCCATAACTCATTAGCACAACAAGATGAACACCGCATTCATAGAAGTAGTTAATTCAATGGTGGTAATATATAAAAGAAAGATGACATATAAGGATACGATACAGAAAGAGGGAATTAGTTCGTAGAAAGAAAGATATGAAGCGATTGTTATCTCATTGTTCAAGGGAAGACAGAGAATGTATACACCGATGACGCTGTGATTGATTCTGAGCCATATCACATAGTAAATAATAAACAATCATTGACTTCTATTGCTAAGTGTATAATTGAAATAGATCATAGGATTAATTTTGAACATGACTTTTGTAGTATTGTATAAAAGTTTTAAAGAGTAAATACTAAATCAGAAGGGGTTTTGTGGAGATTGTAGAAGTTTCAATAGTTGAGACCATGAATCGATTGGAGCTAGATCACTATGGAAAACCTGGAAGCACTGGATGACCGTTTCGTCATATTATGGGACTCCTCAGCGCGCATGTGTAGCTCAATTTTGTGAATTAGTTGAAGTTAGACATTACATTGTTGGATGCCAGCCAGCTCAGTGGTCTAGAAGTCAAGTACTCGCGCGCGAGACTGATAGGCCCTGGGTTTGAATCCCGCGACGCGGGTTCGTGGATGCACACTGCTGAGGAATCCCACAATAGGACGGAACGACTTTCCAGTACTTCCACGTTTTCCATGGTGGTCTAGCTTCAATTAACTCATGATCTCAACTACCGAAAGTATATACTAAAGTTTATTTGAAGTCTTGATTATAGAAACATTCAAACCTTCTTTATCTTTTGAAAGAATAAAACAAAACAGTTTTGTTCTCAATATAAATCTATTCTAGTTTATTATCTAATATAATGAGTATCATATTGTGTTTTTCTTTTCATATTTATTTTCTTTATTATTTTTCTGTTTCCTTTTAACATTCATTTCTAGTGTAATTGACCTTTTATGTTAACATATAGTTCTGATAATCTTCATCGTATTATACTACTCAAATATATAAATAAGCTAAATTATTTAATATTTATGGTATATTATTATGGTTAATTTTATTTTAAATGATTATAGACAATTGCGGTCCTAAACATCAATGGGAAGATTTAGGTAGACAATATCAAGTGAATTTAAACTTTACCCCATCGCCTTAGCAAGTTGCTATCAGCAGGACTCAGTAGCTCAGTGGATAACGCGATGATGTTTGAAATGAACGGTACTGGGCTCGAGTCCCATAATGAATATCAACTCTAAGATATAGGTACATTCAGTTGACGAGTCCCAAATAGGACAAAGTGGTGCGCTTCCTGGATTCCACTACTAGCCACTATCCATCTTTGCTTATAATTGATAAGAGGTTTTCAGCATGAGTTTCACTTTAGTTGATACATGTCATTAAATTAAATTAATCATTTTCAAGGAGTTACTTTTACCACATGAAATTCAAAATTGTATAATTTTAATGAATAATTATTTAATAATCTTGTTTTTTAATAGTTGAGATCATAAGTCAATTAAAGCTAGACCACCATGGAAAACCTAAAAGTACTGGACGGCTGTTTAATCCTATTGTGGGACTCCTCAGCAGTGCTCATCCACGATCCAGCCTCATGAGATTCGAATCCAGGACCCATCGGTCTCAAGCGCGAGCGCTTAACGTCTAGACTACTGAGCTGGTTGGTATCCAACGTTGTTAATGTCTAACTTCAACTAATCTACAAAATTGAGCGACACATCCACCATTGTCTTCAGTGAGTTACTATCTCACAACAGACTCGGTTGAACTCCACTGGTCACTGCTTCTCACCAGGACTCCATGAAATACCTCTTCAGATCAGTCAGTAGTGAGCATGTAGGGCCCGTTATTTTGTCATCATTTAGATCGGACTATGTTGTTGAAAGGGCTCCCCACTTTAGTGGCCTGAAATTTATTAAAAAAATCATTTTCATATCATAGTCTTATTTCTACATTATTGCCTATATATCTTGATCGTTGTTGATTGTTTAGATAGTTTTTCTTTAAGTACAATTATTGAAACATTAATTATTTTCTAATATAATAAAGAAAGAAACCAAAAGTATAAGATTGATCAATATGAAGTATGTTCGTGTGTATGTGAATCATGGCAACAGAGCACAGAAACAAAAAAAAACGAGTAATTCACACACACACACAGGGAGAGACAGCTGGAGGACCCGACATGAAAGAAATATTATACATTATATTTGAAGTTGAAGACATTTAAAACGGCTACAACGTCAGTCAGCTACAACGTAGGACCAGGCACATATGTGCATCGGTCCAGGTTGCCATACCGCATCAGCACAACAAGATGAACACCGGATTCATAGCAGTGGTTAGGTCAAAGGTAGTAATATGTAGGAGAAAGATTGCATATAGAGATATAGTACAAGAAGAAAGAATTGGTTCGTAGAAAGAAAGATATGAAGCGATTTTAATCTCTTAGTTTAAGGGAAGACATAGAGTGTATACACCGACGCCATTGTGATCGATTCTGAGCCATGTCACCAAGAGTCTCCAATCATTGGTTACGATATTCACGCGGACCACAACCAAGGAGTCTGCATATACCAACATGGCTCAGACTAGAAGTTAGTGACTTCAAGCACTGATGCCACGTTTTGGTTTGGCCGCCCCTAACTTTCTTCCAACCATTTCCAATACCGGATAGCATTGCATTTAAAACGGCTAAAACATTATTATTATTATTATAATCAAGAGTTTCATTTCTTTCTTTTCACCATCATTAAATACGGATATGCGGATAATTGAGAACAAAAGAAAATTTACAATTTCATTTATACATATTTATTACCTTTTGATTATTGTTATGTAAGTTATTCTGTCAAATGATGATGTTGTTTCTTTCTTAGTTTTCTTTCTTTTTTTTCTTTTTTCTTCTTTCTTTCTTTTTTTATTCTTTTGTAAATTACAAGAATGAAATGAAGTGATATAAAACAATTTAAAAATAAACAAAACATAATATTTATTCTAATTTTGTTGATATGCTGCGGTTTTGACAAACGGTAATCAACAATAATAGAAAGTTATCCACTTTGAGAAATTAAAGAAAAAAAAAAGAAAAAGACGAAACACACTTCATTTATTATTTGGATATATATCTGTATATATGATTTGACTATATCATGAAGACGTCAACACTTGGGGGAAAGTACGAGATACAGTGGGCAACTAGCATGCAGCTGGACGATCTAGACTTCGCTGATGATCTAGCTCTTCTATCATATACGCGATAACATATGCAGGAGAAGACAACCAATGTAGCAGCAGTCTCAGCAGCATCAGGTCTCAACATGCACAAAAGGGAAAAGCAAGATTCTCTGATACAACACAGCATGCACCAATTGAATCAAACTTGACAGAGAAGCTGTAGAGAATGTAAAAACCCTTACATATTTAAGCAGCATCATTGATGAACACGGTGGATCTGATGCAGATATGAAGGCATGGATCGGTAAAGCAAGAGCAGTGTATATACAACTAAAGGACATCTGGAACTCAAAACAACTGTCAACCAACACACGTTACAATAATTGGCGACGGGGTAGAGAAAATTTTGAACCCTCTAATTGGACAAGATTCAGCATAATTATTTTGACCAATCAGTATCCAGATTTGCCATCGGCGTCTTTGGGAGTCATTGGTTGTTAATTGATTACAGTATTTCTCACTACCCTACTGATTCAGAAAATGACTATCCTTCCCGATCAATTGCAGCTACTACTAGATCGCCAGCAGCAGTGTTTCAGAGAGAGCCAGTTGAATGTTTTGGACAATTTACGCACGCGACTGCTAAATCTCCCATGTTTCGAAGATGTTAAAGAGATTGACGAATTAATTTCTCACTTGCATACTGAACTCGAGAATGACTTCAGGACATGTGAAGATGAAAACAAAAGCCTCTATGAATCCCTTATGACCAGTAATGCGAACGAGGCAGTCACTCATGATCCGCCCAGCGATCCAGAATTGTCCAATTCAGAAGCATGCCCTGTTGTGGGTTCAAATCCCACTGTGCCTGAAACATGTGAGGTATCCAGCTTACAAGAAGAACCCCTCGCGCCAGAAAATGTTTCCCGTGCATTAAATAATGGTCAGAAATCTAATACGAATTTCAAAGATGCTGTTTATTTTAGCGACCTATTACCCACTGATGGAATTTTGAAGAGGTTTGATGAATATGTTTCACAAGAATCAAACCTTAATGACCTCATGTCTGGTGTCGCTAATCCTCATCATCAAGTCAGTTTTAGTGAACCCTCTACTCAATGCGCGAAATATGCTTTAAATAGAGTCAGACTAACTGTTACTTGGGTATATGAGGACCCAACGTTATTTCGCGGGGGAGGACGGACGCAGAAAATTTTAAAATCCAGATGTTAACTCCGGATCTTCCAAAAAAAAGGGGAGGTGTTAGGATAGTCGGAAAAATATACCAATAATTATCGTGTTAAGTCTACGGTGGCCTTGGACCTTAAATGTACATTTCCTAATGGTCGATGTTTATTTCACTTGTTAAATATTGTGTAAATATTGTTCTCTATTTTATGGTACGATGTGGTTTGTTTGTTTGGCATATAAATAGAGTATGTCTGAAATACAATGATTCATAACTCAGAGGCCGTGACTTGCGTTCTTGACTCAACTGGTTGGGATAGACAGCGAAGCAGGGCCAATCAGGGCACTAGGTCGTCCACTACGTGTTTACGTGTCCACTGTAATCGATCGATATAAGCGCTGTGTATCAAAACCTGCAGTCACACATTACAACAAACACCGAGGTCAGAATTTTCAATATAAAAATCAAGACAGTTCTACTGTATGAGGCGTAAACCTGGAGAACTACGTAAGCCATCTTCCAGAAGATACAAAAGTTTATTAACATTTGTCTATGCAAAATACTTCGCACCCGTTCACCAGACACTATCAGCCACAACCTACTTTGGGGAGAACAAACTAAATCCCAGTGGAGGAAGAAATCAGGAAGAAGCGCTGGAGGCAGATATGACAGACATTGAGGTAAGCACTGAACTGCGGCACAAGACAAGCCCTCACATGGAATCCTCAAGGCCAAAGGAAAAGAGGAAGACCAAAGAACACATTACGCCGAGAAATGGAGATAGACATGAGAAAAATGAACAAGAATTGGATGGAACTAGAAAGGAAGGTCCAGGACAGAGTGAGTTGAAGAATGCTGGTCGGCTTCCTATGCTCCATTTGGTGTAACAGGCATAAATGTGTGAATCCTGAAATCTGAATAGTTGTTGAGAAACCGTGAAATAAACTAAGAAATTCGTTTTATTCTACAAACCTTGTTGTTCTTGTTCTGTTTAAATAGGAATCATGTTTCAACCAGGAATTAAACACTTTGGTTTACGAAAAAAGGCATAGTCTAATTACTGACTAGTAATTTATCGCCAAACGTTTCAACAAGTACTAATATATCATGAATTAAGTTTTAACTATCTATATAACATAGAAAAAAGGTTAACATCATAGTAACTAATAATTATATACTTAATAGTAGTTGGTTTTCAAATTGTTTAGCTGCATGTTTGTTATAACTTGCGACCCTGTGTGCCCAGCACATTGGGTAACGCAACGATACCGCCAATCAAAGAGCAGAGAATTATCGATCTAACCAGTGACGCATAAAACACGTACGAGCAGCCTAGATTCCTGATTGATCCTGCTTTCCGCCTAGCCCAGCCAGTTAAGTCCAGAACACCAATCACAGCCTGTGCGATATGAATCATTTATTTCAAGCATACTGGGTTTATATATCAACCAGACAGACTACAACGTACCATAAAATATAAAACAACATTTGTACAAGAATTAGCCAGATGTAGCTGTGAATGAGGGGTTTAGTAATTAATAGACAGGCCTTTGTATAGTGATCAATGCAAATTGCTTGATAATACTACCTTATGGAATACATTATGATGATAATAAGAACGAATAACAAATGAATGGGAAGAAAAAGTAAATTACCTCCCTTTGATATTTAGTATTTCATAAAAATAACTACCGACGTATTATTGTGAAAGATTCATATCTGGCAAATGTTCAAATCTTAATGTACATTTTGAATATACCCACTTTATCATTTGATCTTATTCAGAACATATTTTTGTATGCTTAGAATTTCTCGTTATGATATCTATGGAGATGTTTTCATTTCACCTTTAATCACTTTGTTAATTATGTGATCACAATCAATGGAAAAAACAACATCACAAATTACAGCACGATGAACACCATCACAATCACAGTTGATGGACAAACTCTAAAAAAATCGAAACTTTCAATTATCATACATAGATAGCATCATTGATCAACAAACAGGATCTGATGCAGATGTGTTTATAAACAATTGTCTTTATGAGAAACTCAATGTTCGTAGGTCGGATGCCATCAACAACAATCTTCTATGGGAGAGAACGAACCAGCTTCCAGCTGAATAGAAAATTAGGGAAATACGATGGAGGTGGATAGGATATACAGTGCGGAAATCATCAAACTGCATCGAATGCAAGCGTTAACTTGGAATTCTGAATAGAAATCGAAAAGGGGGAGACCAAAGAACACACTACGTTGGGAAACGGAAGTTGATATGAAAAAGACGAATAGCAAATGGAAAACATTTCCCAGGTCAGAGTTGGATGGAGAAAGCTGGTGTCTAGCCTATACTTCTGCACGAGTGGGAACAGGCGTAAGTAATTAAGTAAGTAATCCCAATCAATATATACTAAGTGATGATCATCTAATAGCTGCAATCCGATATAAAGACACATAATAATAATAATAATAAGTTGTAATCAAAGATGGTTGGTATCTAGCAGTAGAATCCAGGCCATGTGTTTCGTTCTTTTTGGGACTCGTCAGCTGGATATAACTGTATCTTAAAGCTGATCTTCACTCCTGAACTGGAATTCAGTACCGGTCGCTTCAAATGACATTAAGTTATCCACTTAGCTACCAATCCTTAATAGCCGCTAGCTTGTGTAATACAAAATGAATAATAATATGTGTTTTAGAGATCAAAGAGATCTAGAGAGGAGTTTATTTGTGCAAAGAGAAAAACACACATTATTTATTGGATAAGAGTATGAAAATACAAATAAATAAGATGTAATTTAATAATAATAATAATAATAATAATAATAATAATAATAATAATAATAACCTCATATACGTGTATGAAGTTAATCATGAAAGTAGTCAGATGATCCAATAAATAGAATTACGGTTCTCATTGTACCTTCTATTTGTGAAAAGATATTTCTTAAAAGGTATGAACCTCTGTACATGCACACAAAATTCGATTATTGTTATTATTATTATTACTTTTAAGACAATAAATATGAAAGGAAAATGTACAACTTCTCTGTGAATATAACACAATTATCCTATTGAACATACTACTACTACTAACACTATTACAAACAGTAGTATATTAACTTACTGTTGTTTTACTTGTATCTTTTTATTGTTATTTAGGACTGTTATTGATCAGTCTATTATTAGCATATGTACATCTTTTGCGAACTGTTTCGATATTGCCTGAAGTCACAAGCTTTATAAGCAAAGATAGATAGTAGTTAGCACTGGAATCTATCACAGGCTGTTTAAATCACCTTTAAATGGTAAGGTGATGTAGACAGGCTTTTACTCTGTCAAAGCTATAGTAAGTCTCACTGTACCATGAACTTTCCATCTATTCATGTATTTAGGAGGATATCCATTTTCCATTAATGTTTTATTAAACTGTAGTGTCAGTTATTATGCCAAGCCCATATACCTTATTCGAGCTTTCGGACATCCCATTCTATTCATTTTACTTGAGCCATACATTGACCTTGTTATTTATTCGCTTATCAATCTAGACTGTTTTTATATGAGCGTATATGTGTGTGCCCTTCTTATTCCATTAATCACATGTCTGTAGCTTTATTTTGTCTGACTATAAATATTGAGTAACGCTTGACAAAGATGGAGTTGGCTTCCCAGCCATCTTCCATACGTGTCATTTTTGCTTTGCTGTGCTTCATTCGCTTCATGTACGAAATATATGTATTCTCAAGTCCATTCGCGTTATCTGACTCATTTAATTCCGTTATTGGATAACGCGATTTAAGTCGACGATGATATACGAGAATCAGCGATAGCAAATCTTCCATATGCTCAAAATGGAGTCAGATCAACGGGAAGCTAAAAAACAACCTGACACTATCACCAACGGCGGCATTTGTACAAAATACGATCAAGCCTGTTAAATAGACACCTTATCAAACTCCGTTTGTATTGCACGAGGCAATTATTGAGATGGCTTACGAAAACTACGACGGAGCCTCCAGATGCTCTAAAGGAGTCAAAGAGTTCCATCCAATCAGAACGCAATGGAGCTTTCTAGAATATCAACGTGACATGCTACTATTGGTTAGTAGCATGACATGCCTTTTCGTAGATTGCTTGAATTATAATGTTGCTATAATTAACGCTAATATCTATAAATACCCATAATTTTCTGTACATTTTGATACTTGTCCAACAAGCACTTTACCCAGCTTCCTATTATCTTGTTATTTTGCGACTTTGGCGATTATAGAATTCGAGTGCTCAAGTTATATGCGGTATATTAAGAACCTAAGCTTATAGATATAACAGCAATAACTATAATAAGTAAGGTATTGATCTGTTCACGTTGGTCTTCTAAGAATGGATCGTTTGATTGAGCCATTATTATTCTTTAATCTTTATTATACTTTTCTCATCTTATCCTCCATTTCTAGTCTAGTTTACCTTTTATTTTCACGTATAAATGTTCTTAACAAGCATATTATGTATGATCAGATTGTTTGAAATGTCTTGCGCTAATACATCATCACAAAGTTTTGATAATCTTCGTTTTCTTATTACACTATCGAAATTTTTTGAAGGGACTAACTGCTTTAAATCTTAGTTTGTTGGGTCGTTTTTATATTCAGATCATATAATTGAGGTTTGGTCGTTACATTCCGTATATCTATAATTTTTTTCTAACAAGTTAACTACGTTATTAAACCCTTAAAAAAATAAAATGTATATTGATCTAGTTATAGAGGTTAGTTTTAGTGTTAAATTTCCTTTTTCTACGAAGAAATTTATGCTTTGTTTGGAGAGATCACGAGTTCACCTAATCTGAGAAGGGAACGAAGATTCTGTGACACAATAAACAGATAAGCTAACTTTTCCGAAACGTACCAGCCCCGCTAACCAGAGAGAAAGATGTCTATATTCGGAAAAAGGAAATATATTCTACAAGCAGCCAGAAGCACGAACAACAACAACAATATATATATAGCAGAAAATTGTCATTGGAAAGCGTTACAAAATAACATACTAAAAGATAGAACGAACTAATAGCGTTTAAGATCCTCTCAAGTGGGAAATACGACATAAAGGTGGAAAGAGGACTTTTCGCGCGAAAACAAAAAAGTCCAACTT